AAGGTCTATCCCTACTTTTACAAAATAAATTCATTTACGTTCATTGTCACCTGGTCACTTTCCATCAGGTGACCCGTCTGCTTGTCTGCCCCCTCTAACTTAAAAAAAAAATTTGTATGGATTCTAAGGGCCCCATCGAACCATTGACAATTCGTCCTCAGTATTGTTTTTCTATTGGAAGGCAAACTCACATGAACAAAAGATTACTTCGAAACTAATAGTGCAATATAATTAAGTATCCTAATCTGTGCAGAAAAACCTTATTAATGATGAACGAAAAAGAACATAAAATAATATGAAACGCAGGTGCATGGTAGAAAATTAGGATCTCCTATCAATTTAATTTCAATGCAACAAAAAAAACAATTTTTAACCCCGTCATAAGTAGTTTTATATCATGATATTATTGGTAAAGCTAGATATTGTGTACGCGTGACACGATTATTGATGCCTACAATTAATAGCAATAGCGTTTTCCTTGCATAATGCTAACTCTATCGATCCTCTTCCATGGAACATTATTGACCCTTTAGAAGAAGGAGCAGAACAAAAAAAAACTGTCCTGCCTAATGCTGTTATTGAAACCAATTAAAAAAGAGAGTCTTGGAGCACGCGTGTTCTTTCGAGAGCACCAAGGGATCATGGGGGTTCCCACACAGGAGGGGGTCATCTACCCGCCGTAGATGGCCCGAGGTACGTCCGGGTCCAAGGGATTTCCTTTCTAGGGTACACCTGGTTCCCCGGCCACAATCGTATCCGGGGGGATTTCCGCACAGAAAAAGAAATAAAGGACTAACATTGTACCAAGGGACAAATCCCTATCACAAACCTGAATTTCTGAGATCAGCCGAAGTGTAAGTCGACCAAGTTTATACCTAGTACTTAGTTCGATCACTGGCATAGAGGATCATCATCACCACCTTTAATAGTTCACTGCTGGACATAGGCCTCTCCTTAGAAAGGAGGGTTTGGCCTACCATACCAACCAGGCCAGACGGGTTGGTATAGGGTTGTCTCAAGTTTTCCTTCTTTTCGCAGTGTTGTTGTCCTGCTTAGTTTGCTCCCTTAGTCGGCTCTTACGATACTCACGGAATAAATAGGGGTGGTGACACTCCGTATTCTTAATCTGTCACCACTCGGACACACAGAAGTTTTTAAATAACAAATGAATGTATGCAGCGCCAGCCCTAGCCAAGGCTGGCGCTGCATACATTCATGGGGGGGTACAGCGAGAATGTCTTTTAGTATCCGTATCACACTTGTTACGTTGATTTAGATTATTTTTTCTTCCTTGCAATGGCACATTTTAAGTAATAGTTATTTTTACTAATTTTTCTGCTGATACTTGATTTTCAGTAAGTAACTTTATGTTGATCGTTCACCTTTGCCGATATTTATGGGAATAGTATATTCATTTATTATTCGGAAGATAGTTCAATTGTTAATAAAAAATAAACCCATTCACTTTTTCTCATAGTAGATGATCTTTTGATTGGTCTTAGTCTGCCTGTGTTTAAGAATTTCTTCAGGCTTAGATTTTTTTTACCCAAATTAACTCTCAAAAATCGCTTTAAACCTTATAAGAATCTTGGCTTAAAATTAGACATCTATTCAAAACAGATACTGAATTTTTGTGTGCTGAAAATTGTTCTTCGCACCCAGCCTGTCCCAGAACCGGACACCAAACATTAGATTTATTAAGCAATAAAATTAACGTATCTACTTTCAATAAAGATTTTGAAAATCAAATACAAAACTACTTTATTAAGAAGAAACACAAAACAATAACACACAAACATAAAATAGTTTGACTTAGTAGATGTGATTCGATAACATTGTGTAGATATCTTGTTCTACAAGAAAGATGCGAAATTACTTTTGCAGATTGATTTTTTATTTTTGCTCTGCCTCTTTTTCACCCGCTATAACGAGAATGCGATTTGATCTAGAGTCAGATCGCATTGCCAAAAATGCGATTGCGATTTGCGATTTTAAACAAAGATCGTAATTGTATCAAAAATATCGATTGATGTCGAGCACCCGGCTTTCTTTCCTGTCTTATTTGAATCCTCGGTAGCAGCTTACAAACCAGGACATAGTTTGTATTGTTTTATCTTACTGATTACTTGGTAGTGAAGAAAAAGCGTAAAATTATCAAAAGCACTACAATGAACCATCATTTCTCATCATTTATGTATTTTCAACTCTTTCGTAAAAAAAATTGTACGCATCATGTTCATCATTATTCATTAACCAAAAAACCAATCACTGTAGTAATTAGTTAAAGTGAGTCCTTTTGTTTGGATTTGAAAGCTTTTTTGAATATTGCGTTGTCACTAGGTATGTATCCAGAAACTTGAAAATATTTTTACATATCGTAAATTGACATTTAGCGTTCTTAAGTGATACCTCAATATGTAATTGTCTTTCATCAACTTCAATTGTTGTAGTACAGGGTAATATTGTTTTTTATTTATAGCTACTGATAAAACGGTTTAACTTATTGCAAGTTTTTGACATAAATGTAAATTTAACGTACGCCAAATTGTTTGCATACGCTTCTAAAACTCAAAAGTTCTGCCAGATTAAGATCAAATTTGGACACGATAGGCACTAAGGGAGCAGCAAACTACCAAGAAAAACAGCACTGCAAAGAGAAGGTAAACACACGAACCCTATACCAACCCGTGTGGTATAGTAGGCCAAAACCTCCTTTCTAGGCCTATGTCCAGCAGTGAAAAAAAAACATTACATTTATGTAAAAAACTTGCAAGAAGTTAAACCTTTTTATCAGTAGTTATAAATAAAAAACGATATTACTCTGTACTACAATAATTCAAGTTTTGTCATCGCAACTTGTTTTAGGATTTAAGTATGTTTTTTAAAGTTCATATCGATTAAAATTCACATTACAACATTTGCCAGATTATAATAATCATTGTCATCAATAGCCTCTAATAGTTCACTTCTAGTCATAGGCCTCTCTTAGAAAGGAGGTTTTGGCCTTAGAGAGGAGGAAATTGACGTAATACGACGAAATACATCATACGTCATCTTGATTTATAATTTAGACCTGGCAGCGTGTTATAGTAGGCCAAAAAAACCTCCCTTGTAAGGAGCACTATTAAAGGCCATTGATGATGATGAAAATGGCCTGGCAAATGTTGTAATGTCAATTTTAATAGATTTGTTTTAATTTAATAGAAAGAACACTCCAAAGAAATCCGTTTAAAAGTGAAAGTGTCCCCGAATTCTAGGCCTAAAAGTACTATTTGGACTTTTCTGAATATTAACAAAAAAAAAGGCCTAGAGATTTCGAACAACAAACAAGACATTGACAGTAAGTTGTAGTACATAAGTGTTACTGTTAGTGTTACAAGCTATTGTTGAAATTGTTAATTTTTGATAAAAGAGGACACGTAAAATTTTACATTTAGTTTCACTTTTTACATTACGTAGTACCTTTCAGTTTTTTAGTTTTGTATTTGGGCTACTTTCCTACCCATATATACCTATGATAAAAATTACAGAGTTTAGAAGAGTTTCGAATAAATGCAAAGTTATTATTAGTTTAGGAAGAATAACAGTCTCCTAGTAGAATATATCGCACCCTTAGTGATATAGAGGCATAATACAAATAAGTAGTTTTTTGGGAAAACGCGTTTAAAGGTTCTGGATTTTTACGTTCTAACTTATTTTTCAAATAAAATGCTTATTATTTAAGTTCAAATGTGAAATTCTACAGATTTATTCTTTGATAACTGTACTATAAATGGCCATGAAAATAAAATGGTAATATAAATAAATTCCACAAGTTACAAGTGATTAAAAAACACTTTGAAGTTAAGCATGTAGTACAAAAAACATCTTTACTTTTTAGCAATATAGCGATCTATTATGAATCGGACACAAAAATTCACTAAATTTTGTAAAATATAAAGGCGAAACTACAAATTTTTGTATATAATACAAAAAATTTAGAACAAAACTCACCTGTTTTTTTGCACAAACACGAATAGAGCAAAGTTTTGACAGTTCGCTTTCGGCAAATACGGACACGTTACTGCTTGTGACCTTGTAGCACTAAAAACGGGAGACGAGAGGGGAGAGTCACAAATATATTTAGCGAGTCATTAGTATCTTTTTCCTCTCTCTGTCAGTGCTAACCGGTAGAGAATTTCATTTTGTGCCCTTAGCATTTAAAATCATACTTCTATTAATGTTGACTTGACCACTTATATTACTAAGGGAGCGAGATAGTGACACTTATTAGTGTAAAAGTTTATTTTTGAAAATATATAAAATATTGATTTGATCCGTCACTTGTTAACGTCCTAATTTTTGTAATTTGTTATATCATTTTTCTAACATTTTTTCACTGTTTCATTTGTTTTTTTTTTGGAATTTATAATATAGTAGTAGACGGCAATAATGAGAGTTAGGTGATAAAATTTTGTAATGAAATTAATGTATTTATGTTCCAAATAAGATCTTATATTAAAAATAAAGTCAATAGTAAAGTATAAAAAGTATAACAAAGTAGAAATATTTGTATACAGCTTGATAGCTGTATATCTAAGTGGTAAAAAATTATGCTAACCTTTTATATCCTCGGAAGTAACTTCGTGATTTTCCTTGTTTGCCTGAATCTTCTCAATGAGATGCTCCAACCTACTACTGTTGCCTTTGAATAGCATGATCATATCTCCAGGTCGGCAGCGAGCCGCCTACTGTTGCCTATGCTGCTCACCTAACTCGCGCACTTCGGATCGTCCGCGTCGGTTGCCGATTGCCGCAGGTGCATCAGTTCCAGTTTATTTTGGCATTTTTTGCGGATGCATTTTCGTGAGTGCGAATTAATGCACGGCGCGTGGCCGACAGGTGCCGCTAATTGAAGGGGCGCCTGTCGCGGGCTGCGCTTCGTGCGCTTGCTCCACGCCAATTATTTGGGTGCCTGCAGGCTGCGGGCTTAATTAGCGACAATCATATGTGGCACGCACCTTTACTTCCCGAATACAGTTGATTGTTAGCACCGAGCCGAATCTTGTCTTCGGGTGGTCTAATGACGCAGTTTGCGTGGTAAATATTTCCAAGTGCAATAGTGCAACGGAACGCGCGCCAAGAGCGGCGTGTGCGGCGCGACTGCCAAGAGCGGAGCTCCGGTGGGCGAGTCGCGCCTGACCGCAGCACCTCGGCGTGGCACCCTGCGCCCCGCCTGCCCGCCCCGCCCACACAACCTCCCCCCTCCTTGCACCCACTCCCCCTTTATACTTTTTCAAGCTAAGTTTTATTAAGTCACGATACTTTAGAAAACGTCATGCCACTGAGACACAAAAAAATATACGATTTATACGTTCATCATTAGAACTGTCAAAATAAAAAACAATTAGCTAAGAAGAAATCTCAAGGAACCTTCATTAGAAACGTGGTTTGAAACGAATCTGTAAAGCATTATCACAATAGATAGGCAAATACTTTGAATATTCTAGTTCTATAAAAGTTAAAGGGAGTGCAAGTACCTGAGTAAATATTTATATTATACCTTATTCGTATACAATAATGAGATCCCTCAAAGAGGGATGAACAAAAATTGAACCACAGTTCAAGGTACCCCTTGAGACCGAGTGTCAAATATTTGACGCATCATACATTTGTGTGACACTCGCAAAAAAACATTGTTAAAATTGGAATCCGTCTCGAGTAATGAATCGTATGACAGTAAGATGACGCTAAAAGCTTTTTAAACATAGAACGTGGAAATCTGGTTTTAGATTTTTCTCGATCCACCCACGGGTGTGGGCGCGGCCAATGGGCGCCGGCGCCCCGCGTACCCTGTCCCCGTAACGCTTCACTAAACTTTACTAAACACGATGCACTGAAACGCTTAGCCCTATTTACTCGTATGTACGCTTGGATAAAGAATAGGCTTTATCTGATGCACATTTCTATTTAGTAGTTCAACTTAAAATATTGCACATCATAACATCCTTTAAAGACATAGCGCAAAAGTTATTTAAAAGTGTAATTGCAGTATAAGTTACACGTTTTAGACAAAGCCTATGTCAACTTTTGGTGAAAGCTATCCAAAAGTTGTTAGCTTAAAACCTGGTTTTAGAAGCACATTTTTGTTAGTACTGTTATGGTTGTGATTGGTTACAATTGTAAGTCGGATTAAGTTAATAAGCTACCACCAATTACGTTAATTCTGATGTGGCTTAAAGTATAATTTAAAACGAATGTTCGCTTTTGGTCACCCGACGCGGTCGGCGCATTGCTCCTGCGGGGGCGATAGCGCGCGGCCTCCGCGTTGCCTTTTAGTTGTGCATATATTAGTGAGATTACAGGCCCGCGACACAGCTGCTGTAATTTCAAGGATAAACTTTAAAAGTACCCGTATGCAGAATTTTGTTGTAATGTGTTTTAGATGAGAATTTGCGGTCTATTGTGATTTTAAGGTTAGGTACTCCTAAAAATACCGAATATAATAGTATTCAGAACTTACAAAGTAAGTAAGAAATTACAGAAAGTAGGTAGTGAGTTATTTATGACTATGATATATTTATTATAAACATAAGCAGACTTTTTATAATTATTGACTACAGCGTGGCTATAATACATATCACATACATAGTTACCTACTTGTACTTAATTCTTTTTAAGGCAATTTGCTTTTAGGCATAAGAATAAGCCAAAATCTATCTATGTGGCGTGCAATGGGAAAGGCAGTGGACTGCGATAGGCTGATGAGGATAGGAATAAATGTCTACAAGTCAATGAGGCTATTGTTAAGATCTCTGTTGTGATTCCACTTCTTTTGAGATGTTTTTAAAACAATGACGTTACTTTTAGTTCGCTTATGTATCTTGATTACAACTTGTTTTACGAATTCTAGTCAAGCCATCTTTATTATACCTAGCTCTAGGTAGGAAGGTATACCTAATTTCTTACCTAGGCACATAGGTAAAAAATTAGGTTAACCTACATTTCCTCAAATAATATTCTCAAATCCCATTTTCACTTCTACTTATTACTCTACTTTTCCACTTCATGCTGTTTTTTCAGTAGTCTTACCACGTTCTTAACATGACTGTGTTCAGTGTTTGTCTCTGTCTTGTCGTATTGAAGTTTTCTGTAAAAAAAGTTTGGTGCAGAACCATTACCAATCTATTCTTTGTACATGTAAATAATAAAAAATAGATTACTTTGAGATAATCAAATCAAATCAAATCAAATCAAATCTTTATTTGCCATCCAAGTGTACATCAATGATCTTATAATATTATATGTAGAAGTCCCAACTTAGAAGCCTTTTCCAGGCATTGCAAAAATTTGAGAGAGAACGCAGAAGAATAAATTGTTACACAAGTACAAGCATAAGAAGACTCAATAGTACAGTATAACAATCGAACAAAGCATGCAAAAATACGAAGGCACCCGACATTCTACATCACTAATACATATACACATTTTCCTACTGTCCCTAGCATTTCCGTGCTATTTTTATTTATATTACCTTAGGCAAAGTCTTCTCAATATCAATCGTTTAGAATTATCACTTGACACGTTATGGTAGAAAGGTCGAGTATTTTTACTAAATATTCAATAAGTGCCTCTCGTGAGATAATTTACTATTACAGGCATAACAATCAAATAGGTATCTATTTTATTGTTATGCCTGTTTCAGCAAAGTGATGTAGGTACATAATAATATGTGATCGTCTACCCTAACAATAGATAAACAATAAAGTCATGCATTTAATGTAAATAACGGGAACTTGACAAATTAATGAACATCAAATATTTAGGAGACGTTCGCCAAATGGGATTGACATCAAGTTGTCGGGCGCTCGCTTCGCTTGATGCAAAAGGGTTACATAAATACTTAACGCGCCCACCTCACTCCTGACGCGGACGATTACACTGTCACTGAGCTAAATCTCCAGCTCTGAATAAAGTATTATGAAAAAGTGTTTCTTATCTGCAGCCGACATTGCTAACGGACAACGGTTCGTCTTGATGAGGGTCCAAATATTTTTACTTCATATTATTCATACCCATTTGTATTTGGCAGTGAAAGTTATTGTATAATATACCACACCACAAGCGGAGTAACAATTGAAAACAACCTTAATAAATTGCTCATATAGCCATCGTGAAGCTAGGGCTCTATAGCTAAAAAACGTGAGATTAAGCTTGTAAAGAGACGATAATAATTAAAATTTTTATTCTAGTTTTTAATGTTATGTTATATGTTATGTATATGTGTGTTGTTATGTTAGTAGTTAAAATGTGTTTTTTTTTTACATTTAAAATAACAAAAAACAGAGATATCTAGACTCCAATTTTCTATAGAGTTCTCCCTGAACATATTAAAGTTTGTAAAAAAAATATTGAAATGAATTGAGAATTTGATTTCAAAGAAGTTACTTAATTAATATTATTATTATTTATATTCAATCAATATAATGAATAAAGTTTCAAACGAAGAAAAGGTCATGCTGTTTGTTAGCGGTAAGACTGCAACACAAAAAGCGAAATCAAAGGATCCCACTCAAAAGGCAAGAACACAACACATTAAAAGTGAACAGCGAATGAATTATTTATTTACCTTTACCCTTTATATTATATAAGTAGTTCTTTAAATATTTTCTGTGCTCTATTAAAGCGATAAAAAAAGAATAGCTATAGTTACCTACATAGTTACGTAATAGCTTCCACATTACAAAAAAATATTCAAGAAGGTTTATTAAAAGTTGGTAGGTTAAAGTGAATTAGGTACGGTGGTTGACATTCTACTCAAGTCAAGAATCCATCAATATTTCTCTTGCCTTGTACGGATTACCTAAGAGGCGCAATATAGGTGAACCTACTTTCAAAGCAAAATAGAACATACGGCTTTTCCGTTCTTCCGTTCTTTGGGAAAGCGGTTGATGATCTTGTTACTAAAAATTTGCTTGAAGTGCGATTTTGATGATAAATATTACAAAATCGAAAATATTGACTTTCTTATTAAACATATTGTAGAACCTTCTATTGTTCAAATAGATACATTACAAAGATTTCTTTATTTAAGTAGTTAAACTTCACTTGTCATTCAGCAAAATTCCCAAACGCGGACGCTAAACAAGACAACATAAAAGTCCTGAATATTTAATGCGTTGTCCTGACTCGTGCCCCCTGTTTCTTGCGAACTAACTAATGTTCAACCCCTTGATTTGGACGTTACGAGGTGTCGTGGAATCTATCTCCTATCGCCTCATTAAAGTTTCATCATTTGTTTGTTTGGCTACAAGTTTTCAAATGCGACGCGTTTTACCCGTGATTTTGTTTAAATAAGAGAGAATTAACATGTTTCTTTATTGTTAAACGTAATTACACCTTCTCCTTTTCAAATATCGTAACTATGATGTAAAAGGAGCAATAAGAATATCAAGATAATAATATAAAATGTTTGTGGCTGTGTGCATTATCATTTAAATCCAAAAAACTGGGTATTGCAGATTTCTTCGGCAGCGGGACCTGATATACCTACCTCTTCTTATGAGATGGAGTATACGAGTCCCGTAAAACTAATAACCGCAAAAGATTTGCCTTTCTTGATAGTCAGACCGAAAAAAAACTTAAGACGTAACTAATAATTTAACTCATTTAACGTGATCTAAGAATGTTATGACCCGACTCGACTCGAAGTTACAAGAGTTAGGTATACATATATACACTACACTTACTAACAAAACCATTAAAGATTTGCTACATAGTAAGAGTAAATTGTGAAAGTTAACTCTTACTATTCAGTAAATGTGCAATGGGAGAGGTCTATGTCCAGCAGTGGACTGCGATAGGCTGATGATGAATAGTAAATTTTAACTTGTACATTTAATATTGTTATATGAACAAATTGTACTGAACACCATATACACTGAACATCATAGATTACACTGAAAACATTATACTAGGATTTGGCTATTCGTGATAGAATGCGCTGGAGCCGCAATATGCAAAAAAGTCACCTCACAAGAAAAAAACATAATTACTCGTACCAAATTCCATCAACAAAACTCAAAACACCCTAAATTCTAAAACATTTATATTTGTAATTAAATATTTATTTCCGACCATGACATTGCGTTGTCAACAAACACCCAAACATTTTTTGTCACTACCTGAGTCCCAAATCTCGAGGGGCGCGCCGGAGTGGGACACGGGCACACGTCTGTTCACGTCCTAATAAATCAACGGGACAGCCGTCATTCCAGTGGATTAGGCACGTCTCTATTCTCCCCTTTGCGTCACTTTTTTCGTCATACGCCTTTCCTATAACTCTATCACGGGCTTATAACAATATTCTTTTTTGTTATTGAGTGTTAAAAATTATGACAAAACGATTCCATTGTAGTTTACTATTATAGCACTTTTAAGTCACTTTTTATGAACAAATAAAATATTCGTAGTACTTATTGTGTGTACTTATCATTAGCTATGTTGCCGTGTTTCTAACTTTGAAAACGACGAACTTCCATACAACCGGTCATCCCTTATCTTAGCCCCTTAGGGGTGAAATTTGAAAAAATCTTTCTTAGTGGGTGCTTGCAACATGTCAAAATTTCTAATTTAAGCTGTTCGTTAATGAATCAGTTCGTCAGTCAGGGCAAGTACAAGTACAAGTAAAATATACAAATTAAGGTATTACAGTCGTATACCGTAATAAGTTACTGTATTCACACTAATACCTGTAATGTAAAAAGCAAGTTCCACTTTACTCAGCCAATAATAACTGCAATAGTACTTACTATTAGTAATAATGTAAAATTGTGGTCACCTGTATTCGTAGCTGTTTTAGTTTAGATACGTTTAACCTTTGCTCATTTACCCTTTCAACATCTTGATAAAAAATATTTTAAAAATTCTTTAATCAGTTTTTGGAGAGAGCTTAAGAAATGGTTTCCTGCGCAGTTTTATGGTTTCTTAATTCGGATATAAAAGCAAGTTCATGGTTTATTTTACACATAATTTGGGATGTTGCACAGTGTCGGGGGAGCGTAAAATGAAGGCCACACAGGACAAACAAATCCATGGGGGTGACGTTTTTTGTGTAGATTGCGGTACGAGATAGTGGTAGCAGGGTGGTCTGTCACGCATTATACCACTTCACCCAAACACTCGCTTTTTTACATACAAGAACTCAAAATTAATCTACTCGCCTGTTTTTAGCGATTGAGCAAATATTTGGGATCAACATAAAATTGTAACAAAAAATGGACACAAGGGATATTCAACCCTGAAGCTCAATGAAACACTTTGCTTTAGGGAACATGTTTCAACGCTGTTATAATGGGTTTCATTCTAAGGGAATATTTGATCCGATGCCTACGATCGTATTCTCATAAACTATGTGTGTTACATATTTTGCATAAACACAATGGCTTCCCATCCGCAGGGTATTTTAACCTCACAAGGTTCTGCACAACTTGGCTGGCCTGACCAGAGTGATACTACGGCCGCACAGAAACAACACATCACATCAACAGCCTTTAATATTTCACTGCTTGACATAGGCCTCTCCTTAGAAAGGAGGTTTTGGCCTACTATACCACGCTGGCCAGATGGGGTGGTATAGGGTTGACTCAAGTTTTCCTTCTCTTCGTAGTGCTGTTGTCCTGCGTAGTTTGCTTCCTTAGTCGGCTTTTACGACACCCATAGGATAAATAGGGGTGGTGACACTCCGTATTCTTAATCCACCACACGGATATCGGTGACATACAGAAAATCAGTGTTAAATAAGTTTTAGTTGCTTTCACCTGTTTGCTCGTTTGCCCCTTATTACAATAAAATTTACTTCTTCACTAAAGAAGTGTGTAGATTTAAAAAAAATCGTGAACATCATGCCAGTCCTTTAAAATTAGGTACAATTGTTTGAAGGTAATGGTAACTGCTTAGCATCTGACAATCTGTATTTTGCCACCGATGTTTTATAAAAAAAGTCTTCATAGCAGCCAGCTATTGAATTATTAAATGAAAACTATAAACGCATAAAATTGGTTAACCAAAATTATCCAGTATTTAAACATAAGTGTCGAGATTCCAACACGAGCTTGTAATACATGTAATAAACACTCTCGTCCACGAAATGTGCTCTGATATCATCAACCATGCTGTG